GTGACCCAAAAAACTCCGCAAGGTTACTCCTAGAGCTGATAAACAGCTTCAGCAAAGTGGCAGGATACAAGGTAAACTCAAAAAAATCAGTGGCCCTATTATATACAGATGATGAAGTGACTGAGAAAGAAATCAGAGAAACATCACCTTTTACAATAGCCAAAAACAGCATCAAATATCTGGGGATAATGTTAACCAAGGAAGTGAAAGACCTGTATATCAAAAACTTTGTGTCTTTGAAGAAAGAAATCAAAGAAGATACCAGAAAATGGAAAGATCTCCCATGCTCTTGGATTGGTAGGATCAACATAATAAAAATGGCAATCTTGCCAAAAGCAGTCTATAGATTCAATGCAATCCCTATCAAAATTCCATCACAATTCTTCAAGGACCTGGAAAGATCATTAATCAACTTTATATGGAAAAACAAAAGGCCCAGGATAGCCAAAACATCCCTATACAATAAAGGAACTTCAGGAGGCATCACCATACCTGATTTCAAGCTCTATTATAGAGCTATAGTCCTGAAAACAGCTTGGTATTGGCACAAAAATAGGCAGGTAGACCAATGGAACCGAATCGAAAGCCCTAATTTTAACCCACACACCTATGAACACCTGATTTTTGACAAAGAAGCTAAAACTGTACAGTGGAAAAAAGAAAGCATCTTCAACAAATGGTGCTGGCATAACTGGGTAATGGTATGCAGAAGACTGCAGATAGATCCATGTTTATCGCCTTGTACAAAACTTAAGTCCAAATGGATCAAAGATCTCAACATACATCCAGCCACACTGAAACTTTTAGAAGAGAAAGTGGGAGATACTCTTCAACGAGTTGGTACAGGAGACCACTTCCTAAACATAACACCAGTGGCACAGGCACTGAGATCAACAATTAACAAATGGGACCTTCTGAAACTAAAAAGCTTTTGTAAGGCAAAGGACACAATCAAAAAGACAAAAAGGCAGGCCACAGAATGGGAAAAGATATTCACTAACCCTACATCTGACAGAGGGCTAATCTCCAAAATTTACAAAGAACTCAAGAAACAAGTCTCCAAAACACCAAAGGATCCACTTGAAAGGTGGGGTACAGAGCTAAATAGAGAATTCTCAGTAGAGGAGGCTAAAATGGCCAAGAGACACTTAAGAAAGTGCTCAACATCCTTAGCCATCAGGGAAATGCAAATCAAAACAACTCTGAGATACCATCTTACTCCTGTCAGAATGGCTAGAATCAAAAACACCGAAGACAATTTATGCTGGAGAGGATGTGGAGAGAGAGGATCACTCCTCCATTGCTGGTGGGAATGCCGACTCATACAGCCTCTTTGGAAATCAGTATGGAGATTCCTCAGGAAAATGGGAATTAATCTACCACTAGACCCAGCAATTCCACTCTTAGGCATTTATCCAAATGAGGCAGGTTCATACAACAAGGGCATCTGCTCCACTATGTTCATAGCAGCATTGTTTGTAATAGCCAGAACCTGGAAGCAACCTAGATGCCCCTCAACTGAAGAGTGGATAGAGAAAATGTGGTACATTTACACAATGGAGTATTACTCAGCAGAAAAAAACAATGGAATCTTGAAATTCGCAGGGAAATGGATAGCACTGGAAGAAACCATCCTGAGTGAGGTAACCCAGTCGCAAAAAGACAAACATGGTATGTACTCACTCATATATGGATTTTAAATATGGATCAGGATAGTGCCAGTCTGCACTTCCACAGATAGAGAGTCTGGGAAACAGGAAAGAACCTAAAAGATATGCATATATGCATAGTACCCAAGAGAAGAGGATGGAGACAAGATCCTCTGAATGGATGGGGAACAGGGCGAGGGGGGGTAGTGGGACCTGGGAAGAGTAGAGGGGGTAAAGAGGAAGGGAGTGGGTCATGGGGGAACAGGAAGTTGAGGGGGTGGGGGTAAAATAGGGGGAAGAGGGAATCATAGGATCGAAGACAGATCAGGCACCAGAGTGACCTCGAGTGATCTAAAGGTATAACATCAATTGGCAAGCTAAGCAATAGTGGAAGGACCACCTCGAATGCCCATTCCTGATAATGAACTTGATGTCTATAACTATCCGGGAGCCTTCATCCTGGGACTGATGGAAGCAGAGGCAAACACACAACTAAGCACTGAACTGAACCCAAGGAACCCAGTGACAGAGAGAGAGGAGTGATGAGCAAATTGGCAAGGAATGGGCTGGCAAAACCAGCAGAGACGGCTGATCTGAACAGGGGAGTGCTCTTGGACCCCAGACCGACAGTGGGGAGGCCAGAATGGGACTGATCTGGTCCCCCCAAATGTGAGTGTCAGTGAGAAGGCCTGGGCAACCTATGGGGCTCTGAGCTGTGGATCAGTGTCTATCCCTGGTATACAATCTGTCTTCATGTGCCTATGGCACAAAGAGAGATGCTCTCTCAGCCTGGACTCTTAGGGGAGTGCCTTGACCCTACCAAGAGTGAAATGATAGACTCTAGACATCCCCTATGTGGAGGGATTTGGCAATAGGGTGGGAGGGAGGGTGGAAGGGGAGTGCGGGAGGAGGGGAGGGAGAGGGAACTGGGATTGACATGCGAAACAAGCTATTTAAAATTAAAATAAAAAATGATTAAAAAAAAAATGAGACAGACAGAGACAGAGACAGAGATACAGAGACAGAGAGACTATAAGGAACCATTAGAATGTTGTAGTGTTAAATACCAAGTTTGGTGATGTTTGTAGTTAGAGCATTTTTGTATCAATAATTTGTTAGCATTTTAGCATTAAGTGATCAAAAGGATTTGTTTGGCTGCTTCCTTTAAAATTGTATTTAGTTATATATAACCTTTTAAAAACATGGTTACCCAAATATGGTTTGCTTCCATTACAACAAACCATTACCTCTGGTTTGCAATTCATTCTCATTGCTTTATTCTCCTTGAATTTTCTAGTTGGTTATTATCATGTCTCAATGATTTAACTGTGACCTCTTATTCTCAAATAGTGAACTAATCCTGACCCATGTAAGGGTAAAGTCTATGCAGGTCATGAATCACTTGTTTGAATTTCCAGAACATATAGTATATAATATTTTGTGCAAAGGAAAATGAGAAGATAGAATAGTTGGTTGTAGAAGATAGCAAAGATGAAGTGAATACATTTAATCAAATACTAAAATTAATATATGGAAAGTTTAATTCAGGTATACCTTTATATCTAATCTTTTTTTTTTTCACATTTTTTAAATTAATTTTAATTTAAATTGAAAACAATCTTATTTTACATACCAATCCCAGGTCTCCCTCCTCTTCTCTCATTAACCCCAGCAACCTTCCTTCCCACCCCCATACACTCCTCAGGGAGGGTGAAGCCTCCCAAGGGGGATCATCAAAGTCTGTCAAGTATTTGGGTCAAGACCTATGCCCTCTCCTGTGTATCTAGGCTGAGACAGTATCCCTCTATAGGGAATGGGCTCCCAAAGCCCATTCATCATGCAAATTTTTGTCGGGGACCAAAAGCTTTGGTTAACAATGGGAAACATAGAAAACAATGTTCAGCAAGGGAAATATATGAAAAGCATGTATTATAAAAGACGGAGTTAATTGTTGTTGCCTATTTTCTTACAGAGTAAAAATTATTGGACTGTAAATGAATGACTCATGAAAATGAGAGTGTGGTCATAAAGTAGAACGTGATAAAGCTACGAAAAGAACATATATTAGCACACAGAAGAGAAAGAGCAGCTGAGAAAACATTTTAGATATGATGTGGAAGCCAAGTGCAACAAAGTATATCCATTGTCAGTTACATACACAAATTGAAACATAAGCATCATTGATAAAAAGTAAGAGTGCTGACAACTCTGATAGATAATAATGAAAAGTACTTACATATAATTTGTAATATTCATCTTGGTAATGAGTGAGCAAAATTTAACTAGGATTCATTCCTACCATCTATGAATTATGTGGATAAGAATATATACCAAAAATATGAAGATTGCATCTGTTCACATAATTTTAAATACACCAACACACTTTTCAATATATTTTCTTTTACGAAAACACAAAAAATTAGCACTTGTCAATAATTTAGCTAAAGTGCTAAAATAAAAAAAATCAAAGGTATTAAACCAGAAGCACCCACAGCCTTTGGTCTTGGAGATTTGTCCATAGATAAGCATTTTCGTCATTCATGAAGATTTCTAAGACAAAACACTACGAGTTATTTATGTGAATTCCTTCCTTGTTCTTGCAGAAGACATGCTGGCTGTGAAACCTGACCTCAACCAATCTGAGACCCCTGGGTTCGTGTTCCGTGTGTTCACCAGTGTCCCTGAACTCCAGGCGCTCCTCTTCACTCTCTTCCTGCTGCTCTATCTGATGATCCTCTGTGGCAACACTGCTATCATCTGGGTGGTCTGCACGCACAGCTCCCTGCGCATGCCCATGTATTTTTTCCTGGGCAGTCTGTCTCTCCTGGAAATCTGCTACACCACAGATGTGGTGCCCTTGATGCTCTCCAACATATTGGGATTCCAGAAGCCCATATCCCTTGCTGGTTGTGGAACACAAATGTTCTTCTTTCTCACTCTAGGCGGCACTGATTGCTTTCTCTTGGCAATCATGGCCTATGACCGGTATGTGGCCATCTGCCACCCTCTGCACTACAGCCTCATCATGACCCAGAAGCTGTGCCTCCAGATGGTAATGGGATCCTTGAACTTGGCTCTATTCCTTTCCCTGCAGCTCACTGCCTTAATTTTCACCCTGCCCTTCTGTGGACATCACAGGGAAATCAACCACTTCCTCTGTGATGTGCCCCCGGTCCTGCGCCTGGCCTGTTCTGACATCCATGTGCACCAGGCTGTCCTCTACGTTGTGGGCATCCTGGTGCTGACAGTCCCATTCTTACTTATCTTCATTTCCTATGTATTCATTGTGTCCACCATCCTGCGCATGCACTCCTTTATATCTAATCTTAAATGTAGCATATAAAAAAAGAGCTGAAGGTGTGTTTTAAATTTGCAAATTGCTTTAAAGTTGTAAAGATCTATATAGCATATGAGTAACTGTATATTTTTAAATTATGGTAAATTATTCGACTATACCATGTCAGATATGTGAATTTCACATTCCTGGAATAAAAGATGACTCTGCGGTTGAAAAAAAAAAAGAGCTGAAGGAACTCTTAATTTTATGGAAAATGATATAGACAATAAACTGTTCCACCTTGGGTCAATATAAAGTATGTGGAAAGAAATATCCTGTAGTCATATCAAGAAAAAGAGACTGAAGCTGCTTTGTGAAAGGATTTTAGAAGAGGTGACATCTGCAAAAAGTGAAAAGATGAGTAAAACTTTTTTTTGAAGTTTAAATAATATTGAATAGTCTGTTCAAGGCTGTGTGTTGAGTATGACATAAGCAAAACAGGATTATACGGCCATGACTGTCATTCTAAGGAAGTTTAACTTTTTTACTTTTCTTTTTAAAATTTAAGACATGATGGGATACTATTAATTAATAGTATTATAGAGATTAATATTGCCTTTAAGTTATTATTAATTTTGAGAGGGAAAAGCGAATTGACAAGAGAAATTTTGAAATTGAATCTCAGGTGACTACTTAATATTTATGTCTACAAAAAGTTTGAAATACTGGGATACGTTGCAAAATGAGAGGACACATTGATAATTGATGGTACCAAAACAAATGCCAAAGGAATGTCAAAGGGAGAGACAAGGAGGAGGAAAAAAAGAAAAGGTAAGAAAAATAACAGTATAAACCAGCTAAGCACGAAAATGAAAGAAATACATAGAGAAGAGCTCATGAAGGAGAGCCAAGAGGCTAGAAACTCAGAGATGGTCTATTTGCAGGGAAGTTCCATGAAGAAAGGGAGCTAATGAGCAACATTCTGAAAGGGATTCAGAAGCGCTTTCACTAACAATTCTCCCACATCATCTGTAATTACAAGGTCTTTGATGGAAGCTGATGAAGTACTTTCTCTGCCTATGGCATAGCTGGGTGTCAAGGACCCAAGAAGTTTGAAAAAATAATTTGGATAGGAACATTTATGTAAAGACACAAATGTGGAGACATTTTAGTTGCAACAACTGGAGAGTAAGTGTGACTGACACCTCCTGCATTATGTCAAAGACGCATCGGATGCTGCTCTGTGACAGTGTCATCGTCTGTAACAGAGAGTCACTCAAATGCTTGTGGTGCCAATACTGTGGGATAAGAAAGGGGACCCTGAGTGAGTTGAAGGATTATTCTGACTCTAATCAAAGAATTTGTTTAGGACTGCAGGTAGTTTTTAATCCAATCACCACTTATTCTCCAGGAAAAACAATTCTGAAATAACTCAGCCATCCTTTTGGTATTTATAAAGACATACATTTAACAACTCGTGGAGGAGCAATCACAAAGATCTGGGTTTTTGATCTTAAGAACCCAGGTTTTTTTTCCCTTAAGGTCAGATACAGTGTTTCACATTTCTGATCCCAATAATAGGGAGGTGAAAGAGATAAATTTCTGAGGTTTGATGGTCAACCAGTGTAGCCTGCTTAGTGAGTTACAGGGACGTGAGCTACCAACCTTTCCAAGCACACACCAAAGCTAGCATTCGCAGAAACCAATAATCACTCAGCAAGGAGAATGTGAGTAATGCTTCATCTAATATTTTTAGGAAAATAAAATGGAAATGTAGGTACTATTTATAAACAATCAAGTAAAAACACATTTTGGATAAATTAAGTAATAATGTTATTAAGAACTGTTTGAGATTAGTAACTGACAAATATGTTAGAACTGTAGGTCAAGACAGTGTGTATTGAATTTTGTCTTCTGTAAGAATCATCTGGAGTGTTTACAATTTGGAACAACAGTTGGATATTTTTTACCTGTATTATAGAATTTTTAATGTATTTAGAAGACCACTATAGTAAAATTATTCATATGGTAAAATGCTATACATTATCACACTTAAACTATATTTTTAATGAAAAATTATTATAGTCTTAATTTAAAACCTATAGTTTTTTAATATTAGGATTAAAAAAGAGAAACAATATTAGCCAAAACTAACCAGTGTTACTACACATTATAAAATAACAACGAAGTTCTGTACATCCCTTAGAGAGTTAAATCAAATGTCATTTTTTAAGACATTAGTAAAATTAGTGGTGGAAAATGACTATATGTTCTGCTTAAATTTCTTTGACGAGTTGAGTTGTAAATCTCCTCTGCAGAATTCTGGTTTTCTAGTCCTGTAGTTCTCCAGTTTTGTTACCACAGGTCAGCATTTGAACCTGAAAATCTATTCAGAAATGCACACGGTTCTGACACTGACAAAAGTTTTGACTAGTTCATTAAGAATTGTGTGCACCGTATTTTGATCATATTGACTCCCTCCCTAAGTCCTTCCAGATTCAAGTCACTTTCCTACCCACCCCACTCTGTGTCCTTTCCCTTCATGCCCATCAGATCCCTTATGCATCCGTCTATTTTTCAATATGTGTCTTTTCAGTGGAGCATAATCCATTTACCGGAGGCTACATTTGACTTCATCTCTCTCATAGATAGTAGTTGCTAGTAATGCTTCTATTAGGTGAAAGGACTTTGTGCCCACCTACCCATTCTTGGTTAAATTGTTAGGTTTTATTTTTTAACACACTCTCATAAGCTCCTTCTGCCTGTTTAGGTTTTAGGCATGGTTGTTTAAAATCTGGTATTTATATTTGGTTTTCAGTAAATATGACTTATGCTAGATGTCTCAGAGTCCTTTGTATTAAAACGCTGCCTCATTGTTCTAACGTCTCTTCATTTCCTCTCCTTTAAGGTTGTTTCAGAGAAAGTTTGTAGCCTGAATCCATGGATAAGATCAATTACTCAGCCGTGTCTGAGTTTGTGCTGCTTGGCCTCTCTGGTTCTCAGGAACTTCAGTATTTCTTCTTTGTTTTATTCTCTGCACTGTATATTGTCATTGTATTGGGAAACCTTCTCATCATCATAGCTGTGACTTCTGACAGCAGCCTGCACTCCCCCATGTATTTCCTCCTGGGAAACCTTTCTTTTTTTGACATTTGTCAGGCTTCTTTTGCCACACCTAAAATGATTGCCGACTTTCTGAGTGAACACAAGACTATATCCTTCAGTGGCTGCATAGCCCAGATTTCTTTCATTCATCTTTTTACAGGAGGGGAGATGGTACTACTAGTCTCCATGGCCTATGATAGGTATGTGGCCATATGTAAGCCTCTACACTATATGATCGTCATGAACCGAAGTACATGCACTGCCTTGGTGATAATCTCCTGGGCTGTGGGCTTGGTGCATACATTGAGTCAGTTGTCATTTACTGTTACCCTGGCATTTTGTGGACCCAACGAAGTAGACAGCTTCTTTTGTGACCTTCCTCGAGTGGTCAAACTTGCCTGCATTGACTCATACAACACAGAAATACTAATTGTGGTAAACAGTGGAATTCTTTCCTTAAGCACTTTCTCTCTCCTGGTGAGCTCCTATGCCATAATTCTTGTCACAGTTCGGTTCAAGTCTTCTGCTGCCATGGCCAAGGCATTTTCTACACTGGCTGCTCACATCATGGTAGTAGTATTATTCTTTGGACCTTGCATCTTCATCTACGTGTGGCCCTTTACCACCTATCCTGTGGATAAAATTCTTGCTATAATTATACAGTTTTCACTCCTATCCTAAATCCCATTATTTACACACTAAGAAACAGAGATATGAAAGCTGCCATGGGAAAAATTGCAGCCCGTTACTTCAGACCACGTAAAATTTCTGAAATGCCATTAGTAACAAGGATTTCCCTTCACTGAGGGAAAACTCAAATTCTTCAGTTCAATTGTCTAACTACAAGTATTTTTATACCTAAACAGTGAAGCAAATAGGAATGATAATATATAAAAGATTAATGGATATTAACAAGTCTTTTCCTAGTTATTATCTAAACAAAAATTAAGTATCCCCTCTAAAAGAAAAAGGCACTGTATACTTGATTATTAAGTGGTATATATACCCTGATTTAGTAATAGGTAAGTAAGAATATAGTTCAAATAATGGGCTGGGACCCAATTTTTTTGTCAGGGATAGATTTAAAAATTTGATCATATTAGTTTTCTTAGAGAGATGTCTACAAAGTCTTTGTACATACAAAATATTTAAGATCCCAAGACTAAATTTTTAAGTTCAGTAGCTAGCCAGTTTACTGATTTATGATAAGTACATGTGTTTAAATTCTTAGGTTAGGAGAATTCTTAGGTAAGAGAATGCTCCCAGTGTATCAGTTAAACCTGAACCAAATCATTTTCCTATAATCAGAGCTTAATGTATGGAATGTTATATAGTCAAAAGCTTATATTCAAAAATTTTCATGTAATGGGTTTTCTCTAATCAGTAAAAGTGATTCTTTTTGCATTTTAAATTAGAAGTGGTAGAATATCTTTACAATCAAGTGATAATTCCTTAGTGGAAATTTTTTAAAAAGTCAAAAGGCTAATATTAAACATGTACCCATTTGGTGATTCAGACCAGATAGGAACATTTTTCCAGGGCTTCAGAAATAATCATAGGGTTTATTAATGTTGATTGGAATTGTTTTTATATTTTGTTTCCCAAATCTTTGAATTAATAAATGATATATAGACTACCATAAGCATTAGATTTACTTTGTGCATGGAGTATAACTAACAATCTCTACACAGAGAGAGGGGAAACAATAGCTTTATAAATTCAGGATGGTAGAAGACTAAGGCTGGAAGTCATTCAACAGATGCTAGCCTGAGTATTTAACAGGGCTCCTGGTTCCTCCCTTTCTCATGTTGGTTCTGTCTGGATACCTATCCCTTGCCTCTGCCATTTCAATACACAGTGTCTCTGGACACTCAAAACCAACACTTCAACAGCTTTATTTCCTTTGCTTCTTCCTGGATTCCACAGTCTCTCCAACTTGAATGAAGTTATCTTAAACTCAAAATTAAGATTTACTCAGGAATGAATAATTATAGCATTTGTCTTTGTGGGCTTGAGCTACCTAACTCAAGATAATGCTTTCTGTTCCATCAATTTTTCCTAAAATATAATATTTCTCAGTACTAAATAAATTTACAGTGTGTACATGGATTATAATTTCATTGTGTGTTTATCAGTTGAGGGACTTTTAAGTTCATACTATTTCTTGATATTATAAAGAGAACAACAGTATACATACATGAGCATTTATATATGTCCTGTCATACAGAGGTATCTTTAGGTATGTGTAGGATTGTAATAGATGAGTCATAAAATAGTTTTAGAGAAAGCTCTGTAATGATTTTCATAGTGACTTCACAAGTTTACATTTCTACCTATCACCACATCCTGGCTAGAATTTGTTTTTATTTGTTTTCTGGGTGATGGTCATTCTGATTAGAGTCAGAATGAATAGAATCTCAAAGTAGTTTAAATTTGCATTTTCTTCAAGACTAATCATGTTGGACACATTATAAAAAAAACTATTAGCCATTTGTCTTTCTTCTTTTGAGAACTCTCTATTTTTATGGGATGTTCATTTTTCTTGTTTTTAATTTTTTATATTCTTCATATTAAGCCTTTGCTAGATTTAAAGCTGATGAAGGTTCTCTCCCACTATATATATATTACATTTTAACATTACTGTCAATTTGCTCTACAGAGATTTTAATTTTATGAGGTCTCACCAGTCAATTGTTGGCCTAATCTCCCGAGTGACCAGACACTTGTTCAGGAAGTCCTCATTTATATCTATATTTTAAAGTGTTTCTCTACTTCTTCCACTATCCATCAAGGACGTAGGTCCATTTTGAGTTCATTTTGTTTGAGGTGATAGGCAAAGGCCTAGTTCTTCATATAGATATTTAGTTTTCTGATTATCATTAAGATCAGGTGACTACAGTTATGTGGGCTTACATGAATGTCCTGTATTCAGTTCCACTGATCCCTCTCCTCTTTTTACTCCTTCCCATTGTCTTCTTCTTTCAGTACCGTGTTTTTTTATGACCATGGTTCTACAGTTTAAACTAAAACCAGTCAATCAACATTATATTTTTATTTTTCAATATTGCTTTTACTAAACAGTATTTTTTATACTTTTGGATGAATTCTATTATTTTTTAGATATCTGTGAAGAACAGTTCTAGTGAGGAGGGCTATTTTTACCACATCAGTTGTTCTTTTATTATTCTCGCATATCCTCCTGATGACTTCTGAAGACTACTAGAGAATGGTTATTTAAAAAGAATGATCAAAGATTTCAACCAATTAAAATAATTTCAGAATTTTTTACTATATATATATATATATATCATAATTTTAGGTGAAAGAATTCAGAGAATTAACCAAGTCCTTAGCATTAGAATAGCATGAAGGAAACAGGCAAGGTTTTATATATAGTTAGTTATTGTTTTAGGGAAGAATTACAGCTACCCATATCTAATATTGTGTTAATTCTGTGATAGTCTCTTAAACATTCTTATGTAGTCAAAGTCCTTAATAAATCTATCTTTCCGTATATCAACTACTCTTCTTACTACCAGGGTTAGAAGTTTCAGTTACCCTCTTTCTTTCTTTCTTTCTTTCTTTCTTTCTTTCTTTCTTTCTTTCTTTTTTCTTCCTTTCTTTATTATGAAGGAAATCATTAAATCGGTGCTTGCTTATAGTTTAGGAGATTTGGTTCATTATCAGCATGGTGAGAAGCATGGTAGCACACAGATAGACATGGTACTGGAGGAGGAGCTGAGAGTTCTGCTGTGAGTCCCTGCATCCACTTCCATCTCCTGCCAGAAAACGCACCTCTGAGGATGACTGGGAAAGGCACCAACCTATGAATATAGTAGCATATCATTAGTAATGATTTCATTGATTTATTTTTGACCAATCCCATTTGGTTCTACTCTAGGTTTCTGGGCTATCCAGTTCCTGGCTATTGAAGCAGTATCAGACATGGGCTCCCTCTCTTAGCATAAACCTCAGAAATTGGTTGGCTATTTCTACAAGTTCTGCACCAGTATTGCCCAGAACATCTTGCAGGCAGGACAGATTTTAGGTCAAAGGCTTTGTGTCTGGGTTGGTGTCCAGGCTTCTTTTAATGTAGCTGGTAGAGTATCTTCTCACATCAAAGGGAACAGAGGTGAAGGCTCCATGCAGGTATCAGCTCGATATCTCCATGCTCAATGAGCTGTGTGGATCTTGTCCTTGGCAATGGGACACAGCTTCAAAGAACAACCCTCTGTCTTAGCAATAGCCTGGGTTCTATGAGAATCTCTACAGGAGCCCCTTGGCCAACAAGTCAACCAAATGCACCTCAGTCCTGCCAGGGGGAGACTTACCTGGCAATAGGAGATGGCCAGTTCACTCTGCATTCCCTCATTACTAGGAGTCCTAAAATTGGATTATCCTCATAGATTCCAGGTTGTTTCCACTGCATTAGTTTTCTCCTTCCCCAACAACCTCCCAATCACAGCTGTCTCTTTCCCTGAACTCTCTCCCCCATTCCATTTATCTCCTGCAAGATCTCCTCTGTTCACATCACCCCCAATATGAGTGAATGTTGAATTGGATTATTTGCTTCTTTGGTATCTAGTTTCTTGAGATCTTTATATATGTTGGATGTAGCATTGGTAAAAAAATTTTCCCATTCTGTAGGCTGTTGTTTTGTCCTATTGACAATGTCCTTTGCCTTACAGAAGCTTTTCGGTGTCATGGGGTCCCATTTATTAAATTGTTGACGTTAGCTTCTGCACTATCACTTCCTGTGTAGGTAGTTGTCTCCTGTGTGGATGCATTCAAGACTACTCCACACTTTGTTTTCTATCAGGTTCAGTGTATCTGCTTTTGTATTGAGGTCTTTAACAACAGTTGGACTTGAGCTTTGTACAGGATAATAAAATGAATCCACTTGCATTCTTCTACATGCAGACATACAGTTTGTTCAGCACCATTTGTTGAAGATATTAGATTTTTTTCAGTGTGTATTTCAGGCCTCATTACGAACACTTAGGTGTCCAGAGGAATGTGAATTTGTGTCTGGGTCTTCAGTTTGAATTCATTGATCAATGTATCTGTTTTATACAAGTACTGTGTGTTTTTTATTACTATACTATCCATTATCTGGAGTACAGATTTTTAAGTATGGCATTGCGAGTCTGTGGATTTTGTCAGTGTCTGCTGTTATGTCCCCCTTCTTGCTTCTAATTTTGTTAATCTGGATATTATCTCTTCATCCTTTAGTTACTTTGGAAAAGGGTTTGTCTAGCTTGTTGATTTTCTCGAAGAACCAACTTTTTGTTTCATTGATTCTTGGCATTGTTCCTCTTTGTTTCTATTTTACTGATTTCAGCCCTCACCTTCTTTCTTGCCTTGTTTTCCTCTTGGATGAGCTTACTTCTTGTTCTGGAGCTTTCAGGTGTCTTGCTATGTGCTAACATGAGATATCTTCATTTTTCTTTTCATATAGAGAATTAGGGCTTTGAAGTTTTCTCTCAGCACTGCCTTCATTTCATTCTATAAGGCTGGGTATACTGAGAATTCTTTTCCATTGAATTCTACAAGGTCGTTAAGTTCTTTACTTCTGTCTTGACCTAGTTTTCATTCAATAGAAAGTTTTCCAGTTTCCCTGAGTCTGTAAGCTTTCTGTTGTATTGTTGTTGACATCCAGCTTTAATCTGTGGTAGAATCCTTTTCTTCCTCCTCATAATCATCCTCATCCTCATCCTCACCATCCCCATCCTCCTCCTCCTCATCCTTCTATTCCTCATAATCATCCTTCTACTCCTAATAATCCTCCTCCTCATCATCATCATCCTCATCACCTTCTTAATCAATCTCATCCTCCTCCTCATTATCATAGTGATAGTGATTATGATGATAGTGATGATGATGATAGTGATGATGATAGAGATGATAGAGATGATGATATTGATGATGATGATAGAGATGATAGTGATGATAGTGATGATGATAGTAATGGGGTTTTGCTACAGTTTTATGGATGAACGGCTCAGGATTCTTTATATATTCATAATAGTTATTAAAAAATCTTCACTTTCCTTATACTTGATCTAAACATAAAAAATTATACCGTGTTTTCCATGCTATAGATGAGCATGTTTTTAGGTGGACAAACTTGACCAAGTCTCCCCTGCCAAAGCAAGCATTCTCTTCTTCACCCTTTGTTTTCTGACCCCAGGCACTGGAGGTTACCGAAATCAACAAGATGGCTGCCTTGGGTGGGAAGGCAACTCAGACACTTAGTGTTCTTCCAGTGTCTCCAGGTTAAGGCCTGAGGGTTCTGGGGTACAGTCAGGGAGGAGGCACTTCTTTCTTCCATGGTGAATCCTAAACATAAAAGAGCAGAAGGGAGAGAAAACAGAGACAGTTTTCTTTGCTTTGATTCCCCCCCTCCTCTTTGCCATCTAGCTAAAAAAGGATGGAGGGCAAAAAGTCCCCCGTTTCCTTTTGAAAATCACTGAGATTTACTGTAGCAGAAGAACTGAATGTATTCATCCATCTTTCTCTTCTCTTACTTATAGCCCTTCAGAGTAAACCAAAAGTCCATGCACATCAGAAAAAAAAAAGGTATGCCTTCTCTCGTTACCACCCTTTTACACAACCCTAATCTGGATATGCATGCCCCCAAACTACCCTGTACCCAGTTCCTCCCCATTAGAGCTGGGAGGCCCAGCACAGATGGGAGCACCTGTCCAGAGATCTAGGATGCACAACACAGCAAGTTGCACCTGTCCAGGTGGGTGAAAGGCCGGTGGCACACTGAAGACTGCCTTTATAGAGTTCAAAACACAATAGCTGTGTTGTTGCCCCCCCTAGTGGTAAATGATCAGAACATCTGTAAAAAGGGAAGTTCCCAGACCTCTAACAATTTCTCAACAAAAACAAGCCTTTAGATAACCCTAAAGAGAAAGCTATCATTAACTTTCTGACATCTACATTAAAACTTTATTGCCATAAACATACTGAGTAACTGTTGTCATTCTATGTGACCACAATCTAACTGTGATAGAGCTGTTGAGTACAGGGAAACGGTTGTGCCTAGTCCTCTAAAACAGAAGCCACTGACAGTGTTCTGAATCTCCGTACTAAAACACTGGATTTGA